TGCTTACTGCTGCAGATATGGGCTGAAGTGGAGGGACAGTACTCACCGCATGTGGCGGAGGGACAGAATGGGCCGCAATTGGCACTTGTGGGGGTTGAGGAAGTAAAACAGCAGCAGTAGGAGCTTGAGTATGTTGAAGAAGGGGCATAGCACTAATAACTTGGAAGTGAGGAGGGACAAGGGCACTAGCAGCACCTGGCACAATCGAAGCTGGAGGATGTGGGGCCCTCAGGTAGGAAGTTGCAAGTTGGAGGACTCAACCAAAGGAGGCTGTGCTGCCGGGTCAGCCACAGCAGGAGGTGCAGCAAATGAAGCTGAGAGGGCAGCAGGTGGGGTAACGGTTGGCATTGAATCCGGAAAGGAGGTAACAGCAGGGCCTGTGAGCATATTTGGTTGTGGTGAGGAACCGATCTCTCTGGGGGGAGGCACATGCAAGGAAAAAGTAGCCAAAGAGGCACTAGGGTGGATAGCCTCTATTAATCCTAATGATAGATTAGCTTGGGCTGCTGATGCTGAAGTGGGAGGCACTGTAGAGTTGATACGGTTATGTGGGTGTGCCACACTGGGAACCATAGGGTGGTGAAGGGAAGGGTTCAAACTCAACCCAGTGGGGCCTCGGGTATGGGCCTCAACCTGATCCTCTGTAGTCTGGGTTGAGGTTCTGGTGTAGGCAGCATAGATCTAGGTGGTGGAGGGAGGGATGCACGACTTGGAGCAGGTGGAGACTGGAGGCCATGCTGGGGATGTGTGGACCGGGACTCGTGTTGCCTCAAACAGTCGCAAAGTTCTTCCACTAGAGACTGACCAACTTGACAAGAGCGGTCTCGCTCATGGGAGGGTGATTATGATGGGCTGGAGAAGCATGGCTAGAGCCCTCGGCAGCAGTGGCGTAACTGCAGGGAGAGGCAGAATTGACCTTCTGGTTGACTAAAGCTTGTACTGAAGTTTCAATCATCTGCCGCACCTCATCAAGAATGCCATTCTGCATATTTATCACTTCTGAAGAATAATGGGAGGTTGTTGCTGGATGGCTAACTGCATGTTACTGTTGTACGGTCGGTGCTGCTGTTGGCATTCCTTGTGTCCATGAAGCAGCATGTGGTTGCCCAGTCATGGATGTGGCATAACCACAACCAACATACTGTGTTTGATAGTCATTTAGACAAGGGGGGGGGGGGGGGGGGGG